ATTGGGGATTTGCCAATAAATTGGGGACAATCGTCACCAAACTCATTCACAAGTCAAAACAGTCATTCAAAGTTTCATCTTTTTTTTTTTTNTTTNTTTCTGGAAAAGAGAAAAGATTAAGTTATGGCGGAGATCTTGGGAAACGGCCATGGAGAAGCAAGAGAAGGAGCAGTAGTGGTGAATCTCAAGGAAGAAGACGAACATCAACAACAAAAAGAGGCTATTCAAAGCCCTAAACCCATCAAGAAACAAGACTCTCTCCTCTCATTCTCTGTCCCTTTCTTACAAAAGGTTCTCACTTTATAACTCTCAAATCAATCTCCAAAAAACCATGAACTTGATCTCACCGATCTATGAATCTCTCTGTTTTTTTTCTTACGAAACTCCTCTTGAGAATTGATAAGACTCTGTTTTTGTATATTTAATTTGATAATTCAAATACAATTGACCATAAATTTCTCTGTAGTCTGTAGAAATGAAATACTCTGTTTTTTTTATTCGTTGAACTTGCTCTGTTTTTTTCAGTTAATGGCGGAGGTTCTTGGAACGTACTTTTTGATATTCGCCGGTTGTGCAGCGGTGGCTGTAAACACCCAACATGAAAAAGTCGTGACTCTTCCTGGTATCTCCGCCGTTTGGGGACTCACTGTCATGGTTCTTGTTTACTCTCTCGGTCATATCTCCGGTGCTCATTTCAATCCAGCCGTTACAATCGCCTTCGCTTCTTGCGGCCGATTTCCTCTCAAACAGGTTTATACATAAGCTATAATGATAGATCAACTTTTGTTTTTTCTTTTGTATGGTTTTGAGTTTGATGACCAAACTAAAGAACATTTAGTGTTTTTTTTTGTATGTTTGATAGGTCTACCTTAGCTGTCTTCTTAATTGTATTGCACGAAACTTTAGGTTAAAAGATTTTCATTTTTTTGTTTGAGATTTTTTTGGGCTAATTTGCTAGATAACCAAAAAAATAATAATAACCAAAAAAGTAATAAAAGTTTGGGTATGTGACAAAAAATCAACCATTAGATCTAG